CATCATTTGACAACTGTGAAGGCAATACTAGAGGGTTGTGCATCTCTGTATTGATTACTATTCACGGCAAAAAGATGTTTCTTTGGTGAAGGTTGAGAGACACACTAATCTAGGAATATAAAGATAAGTACCTAGGGGGTATTGTCTTGGTTAAGGTTTCTATTGCTGTGAAGAGACACCGTGACTATGGCAAATCTTTTTTTTTTTTTTTTTTTTTTTTTTTTTTTTTTTTTTTGATATTTTTGAGACAGGGTTTCTTTGTATTGCTTTGGAGGCTGTCCTGGAACTCACTTTGTAGACCAGGCTGGCCTCAGACTCACAGAGATCCACCTGCCTCTGCCTCCCCAGTGCTGGGATTAAAGGCATGCGCCACCAACACCTGGCTGACCATGGCAACTCTTACAAAGAAAGCATTTGGGATGGTTCACTTACAGTTTCAGAGGTTCAGTCCATTATCATCATGGCAGCATGCAGGCAGATGTGGTGCTGGAGCTGAGATTCCTTACATCTTGATAGGCAGACAACAGGAACTTGACTGACTGTAACACCAAGTGTAGCTTGAGTAAAGAGACCTCAAAGCCTGCCCCCACAGTGACACACTTCCTCCAACAAGATCACACCTCCTAATAGTACTATTCTCTTTGGGGGCCATTTTCTTTAAAATTACCACAGACATAAAGCCCATTTAGCAGTAGTCTCTTCCCTAGGGTCTGTGATCTACTCAGCCATGGATTCCTGGCCCAGTTATAGAGCCAGGCATGAGTTTTGTCTCATGGTGGGTCTTAAATCAAATTGGAAAAATGTTTATTTATTCCCATAACATTCATATCACTATTGTGCTAGTAGGCATTTCATAATATATAGGATTTATGATAGTTGTGTAAGACCCTCAAACAGCTGAGGCTTCCAGAATCTTAGCCCAGGACCATGGCCACCCCAAACACAGAGTGGAGGCGAAAGCTTGATGCAAATTGCATGAGGCTTTATTGTAGTTTAAAGAGCTAACCCCATGCTAGCTCGGGTCTTTGATCCACCCGCCATGGCGGATGGCTATCAAAGACAGTTCCAAGCCGCTGCCTACAGATCTTTATAGGGCATCGGAAGGGGAGTGTCTAGGGGTATGCACAGGTTCAGGATTGGTGTGCCTCCAGGCTTGGAGGGCTTGCCCTGTGTTGATTGGTCAACTGGTTGTTATGGCCCACAGGCCCTCCCAGGGTGGTTGCTATGCTCTCTTCGTCATTGCTGTGTGCTTGTCCATAAAGCACACCCAGAGCCATAATGCATAGCACCACCAGCTAACTTCTGATTGGTTCCTTGCCATGAGGCAGGAATCTGACCTTCTAGTGACTAAGACAAGGTCAGACAAGCACGTGTTTGGTTGTTATGGCTGCCAAAATGGGGAGCTGGCCCCTTCAGTTGTATGCCTTTAAAAGATTAATCAGGGTCTAGAGAGATGGTTAAATTGTTAAGAGCATTTTCTGCTTTTCCAGAGGACCTAGGTTTGATTCCCAGACAGCTAACACGTGTCTGTAACTTCAGTTCTAGGAGACTTGATGACCTCTTTTAGCCTCCATGGCACCATGTATGCAAGTGGTACACAGACATACATGCAGACAAAACATCCATGTACATTGTCGGGAGTGAGGAAAATTCCATTACGAAATTTCCAGGGGTTCCAGTAACCGGGAGATCCAGTTGAATAGATGATTTGCTATTGAATAGCATGGCCTCAGTGGGAAATGTCTCCTAGTTTGCATCTCTACAGAACTAAGCATTTGAATAGGCCTGAACCTAGGCGGAGGTGCTAGGTGTGTAAATAACATGTGAGGACAGAGAGTTAGGAGCGCGATGTAGCAGAGAGGGGTCAGGGGGAGAGAAATGGCCTCCTCGTGGCCATGGAAGCATGGTTAAGAAACAGCCAAGAAGATGCTAAATAAACAAGAGACTCTAGTTTTACAACATGGAACTGAGAGCTCTCTAAAGATGCCTGTGTTTGATATTTATTGCCATTGCGTTGCTAGGAGCTTTCAAGTCTCCACTCCCCATTCATGCCGAACCTCATGGCTTCCGTGGCTTGGTGCTGAGACATGCCAGGCCATGACAGTGCATAAAATAAAATAAACTACCAACCTGTTTTCCAAGGTATCAGTATCATTTTGCAATGTCTCCTACAGTGTACAAATGATACAATTTTCCCATAACCATGGTAGCATTTGGTGTCCACCCCTTGTTTTAGCCCTTGTGTGTAATGCTACCTTTTGTGGTTTAAGTTTACATTTTTCTGATTAGTGGTGTTGAAGGAACCAGCTTCCCTTTTGGCAGTCATAACAGTGGAACACGTGCTTGCCATAAACCTGCCTTGGTCACTTAGAGGTCAGATGCCTGTCTCGTGACAAGGAACCCATCAGAAGTTAGTCACTAGAAAGTCAGATGCCTGTCTCGTGACAAGGAACC